GAGACAGGGTCTCACCTTGTTGCTCAGGCTAGAGTGCCATAGTGTTATCATAGCTCACTGCAACCTCAAACTCCTGAGCTCAAGTGATCCTCCTGCTTCAGCCTCCCTCCTGAGTAGCCAGGACTACAGGCGTATGCCACCATGCCCAGATAATTTTTTTTAATTATTATTTTTTATAGAGACAGGGACTTGCCATGTTGCCCAAGCTGGTCTTGAACTCCTGGCCTCAAGCAATCCTCCCACCTCGGCCTCTTACAGTACTAGGATTATTGGAGTGAACCACCGTGCCCGGTCTTGAAGCATCATTTTAAAATATGATATGTACCATTTATTCTTGGACATTTTAAGACAGAAAAAGGTTTTAAACTGTTGTTAGTCATGTGTCTCGATGCCAAACTCCCCAGAGGAAGTGACACTGGCCCAGTCGCCTTTAGCATTGATCTCAGTTTTATCATCACCCTTATTGAATTGTGAATCATATTTTGTACACTTAAGTCATTGTCTCTGAAAAGTTTACTCCTAACCTTCTCCTTGAAGGATTATGCTGTTTTTATACGGTGTTAGCACAACTTCACATGCCCTAGATACTAGAAGCATATAGCCTGTTTGCTAAAACAGCAAAGGTAAAGCCTTACATTCTGTGGAAATATTTTTGTGTTAATAAGATGAATAGTTGCCACTTGTTAAATGGTATGATGTGTACCAGGTGCTCTGTATTTAAATGTTATACATGTATTTCTTATTTAATGCTCACAACAAGCCTGTGAGGTAGGTTTATTTTGTCATGTTCTGTATACAACATTAAGTCTCCACGGAGTTCAGTCACTAGTTGAAGCAACACAGGCCGTGTGTAAGACAGCAGACACTGAACTTCACTCCTTTCTGACTCCCCATGGTCTGTGTGGTCTTAATGGCCACACTCTTCTACCTCCACCAAAGCAGTCAATGTGTTTAATTTGAACCTATTTTTTTTTTTTTTAGTCCGGTTAACCAAAACTGGTTTGTGTGGATAACAGAGACAAAATGTTTCACTGAATGAGTAATAAGAGTTCGGACCAGGAATTTGTGTCATACGATAGTTTTGATGCGTTTTCCAAGTCTGAGATATTTAAAAAGGGAACCAAATTTTGTTTCCCTAGTTCCTAGGTAACTTCAAGTTCAGGTTCAATGCAACATCAATTCTGAAAGTAAACAAAATCAATCTTCTCTCATACACCTAGATACATCTCTATGGATTTATTTTTATCATGGGTCTAATAATGAAATCTTTAAATAATAGATTATGGTTTTCAGAGTAAAATTAAGTGATAAAATAATGGAAGTACTTATTTTTGTATAAGGTTTGATGTCAAATTTTGACTTTCCTCCTTTCAGATGCCCCCTTAAAATATATTTCTGGAACTTGATTTTACAACTTTTCATATTGGTTGTTTTTCTGTCATAAAATACATTTTCAAAAGTTATTTGATAACCTATTTTAACAGTAGGTCTGAGAGTTGTTACTTGTTCCAGATGAAATTAACCTATCCTGGAAAGAATCTAGTTTCTTCTAGAATGTCTCTCAACTATATTCTCTTCAAAACAACTCAAGAAAATGTCTTTCATAAATATATTCGTGTGAACATTATGTGCAGTATTCAGTTCTACTTTGAAGTTTAATGGCTCATTAGTAGACGGTAAAAATGTAGACATTATATAGAAAATTATTTTTCCATTTTATTTTGGCTTGGTTATTATTGGCCACCAAAATCTGTTTATTTGGGTAAAGTGAGCAGTTTTTGATGAATGAAACTGAGAACTATAGGTAGGAATTCATAGCCACTGAGTTAGGTTTAGTGTTTGATTTCAGATGCATCAATTAACTTGTAGAATTTATGGTCACTGGTAGGCTATTGTTTTATGGTTGTATAGTTCTTAACTTTATATTTGATAACTTTAAAATAGAATAAAATATATAAGTTCAGCTAGGAAGAATAGGATGCATATTTTCTAAACACATTTTTAAGCAAATAATAGTTTTAGCAGATATTCATTTTTAATAATTAATTTAAACACTTAATTAAGAATTACTTGCTGAATCATGTCTCCAGGAAAAGCTTTCTGCTTAACAAAAACCTATATTTTAATTTCTACTAATACCTATACTTTTTGAAGCTTAATCACATTAATTATGTGATTAATACTTTAATTTTTATTGCTTATTATTTTATGAATTTTTTTGTTTTCTTTTTCTTTCTTTCTTTTTTTTTTTTTTTGGAGGCATGGTTTCCCTCTGTTGCCCACAGTAGAGTGCAGTGGCATCATCATAGCTCACTGCAACCTTGAACTCCTGGACTCAAGCAATCCTTCTGCCTCAGCCTCCTGAGTAGCTGGAACTAAAGGCACAGACTACCATGCCCAGCTAATTTTTCTATTTTTTGTAGAGATGGGGTTTTGCTGTGTTGGCTAGGCTGCCCTCAAACTCCTGGCCTCAAGCAATTCTCCTGCCTTGGCCTTCCAAAGTGCTAGGATTATAGGCATGAGCCACTGCTCCCAGCCCTAAATTTAAATTTAAACAACTGTGTTTCCTTCAAAAAATCTTGTTTTTAAATTTTGTTCCACTTTTTATGTAAACATTTTTAGTGCTAATTTTCTTTTCTTTTTTTAACTTTAAAACTTTACCAATACATTTTCCTTTTCTGAAGGAAAAAAATTCACATAAAACCTCGGTCATGGCCAAGCATGGTGGTTCATGCCTATAATCCTAGGACTTTGGGAAGCCAAGACAGGAATATTGCTTGGACCTGGGAGTTTGAGACCAGCTTGGGCAACATAGTAAGACCCCATTTCTACAAAAAAATAAAAAACATTAGCCAAGCATGGTGGTGTGCACCTGTAGTTCCAGCTACTAGGGAGGTTGAGGCAGGAGGATTGTTTGCACCCAAGAGTTCAAGGCTACAGTAAGCTATGACTGCGCCACTGCACTCCAGCCTAGGCAACAGAGCAAGACATTGTCTCTTAAAAAGAAAAAAAAAAACCT